ACTCTTTCCTTTATCCTCTGTCCCTTTCAGCCTCACTTTCTCCCTGGATGCCTCCCTCCTTTATTTCTTCAGAACTTTTCTCACTTGCCTCCCCAGTGGTAATGACAGAGAGTCATTAGTCATATCAGTTTTCACAGAGGTCCTTCCAGTGGACAGCTCACACACTAGTAAAATAGTTGTTTTAGAGGACAGGGAGTTTATTCTTCATGTTCATGAAACAGTTTAAAACATCATCTCTTATTGTCTTATATTTAAAAATGTTTGTCTTCTTTGATCACTGGCTTAATACCTGGAATGCACAGGCTCATTACAATGCACTGGCACAAACACTCTGTTTACATTGACGAAGCATGGATGCCAAGAGACTGTAGATCTAGCTCCATTCTGTCCTTCTATATTTTTACAAGAACAGCTTAATTTATTTATCTTAATTTCCTCATCCTCTATAGGAAAGCTTTGTGACAGATTTGTTTTTTGTTGTATTGCCAGGGGGTGTATGTGTTTGGAGAAGCGAGAGAGAGGGAAAGTGGAAAATCACTTCCTGATGGGATGGCAGCACTGTCATCCATTCTCCTCCATTCTCCTCTCAGGATTTTGAGCACACATGCATGCACGGCAAGTATGATTTTCTAGCCCCCAGATCCAGGGCTTGAGCCATGGTCCTCGATGTGGGAGTCCAGCATCTTAACCACCACACCACCTGCTGGCCCCCAGGGACAGATGATATTTTAAAACTTTTTCTATCTTTGAATACTATGAAACTGTGATGAATCAGTCATACCGTGGCTATTAGAAAGCACAGACACTAGGATAAACCCATGGTCCAGCGATGGGGGAGCCAGATCCCATATGGCCAACTGCATGATTTGAGATCTGGATGTGGTGTCTTGTAAAACACACCAGGTGTGTTTGTGTGCATTCCCCAGATCCCAAAGGGATGAAGAAATGGAGGGAAAGGGACTGGGCTATGAGCCTGCCCCATTAGGGGGTGTTTTCTCTTTCTCTTTCCTTTTCTGTTTCTTTGTTTCTCTCTGGCAAGCACACACACCCATTAGCAAATTTGAAAAAAAAATTAAAAGACACCAATTCAGAAGTTATATTATATTTTCCTATTTCTTGCACTAAATTATCTCTCAAATTTCCATTATCTTCTCACAATATTCCTTGAGTCTTTCACTTAAGTAGTCAATGGACTGGACGTGGTCTAACACAGTAATGAAATTTGCATGAATAATAACATGCATATTGATATTATAAAGCACTGTATAATGAAAGGTGAAATGACTCAAATAAAACTTAAGGGACAAGGAATTATCATGTCCTATTGCATTGAAGAATTTCTAACCTCCTTATAAGGACAGAAAACTTGGACACCTGTGTGGAACTCATCCACCGATGTATTCAGAAATATGACTATAATCAGGTATATGACTATAATTTAGGGTATTGTTTGGCGTAGCAAAGTATCCCAAAATTATATGTACCCAATATTACACTCAGCATCACAGAATGGAAGTGCTGGGAGGCACTTCATAGATTACTGAGTCCAGACTGTTTAATCAGGAGGTGATAAACCTGCAGCCTTTGGAGCGTAAATGGTTAAGAGCCTCATCATAAAACAACAAAGGCAAGGCTAAGAATAGCAAATTATTTGTGACTAAATTAACAATTCCATTTCTTCCATTAATAATTCACACTTGCTTTCCTTATCAATTATTAAAATAAATATCACATACTGAATTTCAGTATAATTATAGAAATTATATGTATAAAAAATCATTTATCTTACACATTCTTCCAGCAAAATAATGGTGCAGAGTTAAGTGATATACTAAATTAAACACAATGCTGATTATCTTGAACACATTTACATAATTTGTGCTTTAAAACCACTAAAAAACTTGTATAAAAAATAAATGGATTAATAAGGAAAAACTTACTTTCTAAAAATGACCAAGTAAATTTTGAAATTTGGGGTTTACATATCAAACAAGGGCTGGTTGCATTTTTTTCCCCTTCAGTGTAGCAGAATCCATCAATAATGCAAACATCTTTCTAATGGAGATTTTTCAAAAAGAAAAACATTAATAAAGATACAGCTATAGTTAGTATATAGAGAAAAAAATCTGTACATAGAATGATAGCAGCAAATAAAAGCCTATTTATAAATCTGATTGTTTAGTAAATATATTTTTCATACCTCATAATCATAAATGCATGTTAGAAAACAGATTATTTCCAGGATATGTAAATTAAACTCTTCAAAGCTAAGATGCAAACAAATATTATTTATGTCTATGAAAATTTAAAGTATTTTTTTCTAAATCTTAAATTGGCCTATGGAATTGATATATTTGTAGGAATGATACAATACATACAAATTATATCTCTGTGCAAAATTATAGAATCATATTAGTTTTTAGCTATCTTTTTTTTCTCTACCTATCCACTATATCCTGTGAACACAGAAAACAAGATCATATTCATGGCATAAATATCTATACTTAATCATGGATACCATTACACAAGATAATTGAAAGAGATGCTGACAAACACAGGAAGAATGTTTCATGTAGCTTGCCAAAGACAGAGAGTTAGAGCGAGAAAGCAAGAAATCACTCCCTAGTGGGGGAGGGGAGAGGATAGCCATACTATTCTCCTCTTGGAATTATGGACTTAAACATACATGGGCCAGTGTGATTTTCAAACTGCTGGGTCTGGAAGTCCAACTGTACAGTTGGCCGTGTAGGATCCAGCCTCCTTAATCTCCATACCTTTTGCTAGCCCATAGCAATCATTCTTAACTTGAGAAGAATACTAAATTTTATTCAGGAAATATAAACTTTGTTTATTTTGCAAAATCTCCTTTGATATCACTTGGAATAAATAAAAACATGGTAGCCTCAAGAGGATAAAACAAACTTGTGTAAGAACATTTTAAGAGTACTGGGACCAGCAGATGGTGTAATGGTTACGTCATTGGAATCCCACAAGTCGACCATGGTTTAAGTCCTGAACATGACAACTTCAAACTCACGCCAGGTGTGTGTGCATATGTGCCCCAAATCTCAAGGGGAGAGAGGAGGTGAAAGGATTATAGTGTGGCCATCCTCCCAGGGGGGCGATTTCTTGCTCTCTCTGTCTCAGGCTCTCTAGCAAGCACACACATCCTATAGCAAAACAAAACAAAAACAAAAACAAAACAAACAAACAAACAAAAAACTCTTAAAAAAGTACCTATGAATTTGTAAAAATAGTACCTTTTAGAATAATAAAAATCATACAATTTCTCAAAAATAGAAACTTACTGGTAATGATCTAATGGCTAGTCTCCAGCAAAACTGATTTAAGATTTAGAAAAAAAAATACTTTAAAATTTTCATATACATAAATAATATTCATGTGCATCTCAGTTTCAAAGAGTCAAGTGATATTAGATCCTTGGTGTTCATTAAATCAGCAGTTCACATGGGAGAAAATCCTGTTCTAAACCCAACAGACTGGATATACATTAAGAAGAGGTGATGGCTATGAGGACTCAGCTCAGGCTGTGCTGCTGTTCTGTAATTATCCAGCAGTGGCCATTTGCATGGCCCAGTTAACTTAGTTACCAGAAAATATTTCCTCTAACAGTGCTAGCCTTACACATTTTACAAACGCTACCCAAACACATATAGTTTGCCACTAAGAGGATTAGGTAACTACAAAGAGATATCATATTGGAAAATCTTTATCACTACTTAAAAGACAATGTAATTAGGAGTGAATAATTTAGTCTGAACCTCCTCTTTTGATTTTCTTAGGAATAAACGGTCTGCTGCTTCAAAATGCTAACAGCAGAAACTTCTTCTTCATTTCAACAAGAGTTATAACCTATAAGTACTTGAGGAAGACTTTTCTCTATTCATCTTTCTAATATGAAGGTGAAAAAACTATAATAATATGCTCACAGCATAGGAAATAAAAATATTCATCATGTAAATGTAAAAATAAGTGAAAAGATACATACTCTGGTAGTACATGAGTCATTTTCATGGGGCCCACAAACTTGACAAGCACTATCATATACGACCATTATTTTGGGATTACTAAATTTATAACCATCATTAGATACCTGTAAAATAAGACAATTTGCTTTAAATACAGTCTCAGAAATTAATTATGAATTTATATGTATTTTATAAGTATGAGGATATCTTTTTATATTTTACCTTTAATTGCCATTTCACTATTAGTTCCTCACCCATCAAATCCATGGTATGGGAATGCTGCAGGTCGGTGGGCAGCTGACAATCAATAGTTCTGCTATTTCGAAAAATAGTCTTCACATAGATGGGTTCTCCGAGCACCCATTTACCGCTATTATACTGAAACCATAATGAGAAAGCAATTAACCTCTGCTAGTTACAGAAATATTTTTCTAGTAAATTACATATAATCAAAATATAATGGAGCCAGCAAGATGGTGTGTTGGTTAAGATGACTAAATCCCACATGGCTGACTCTGCTGTTCAAGTCCCAGACCTGGCAGCTTGAAAAACATGCTGGACGCCTACGCATGTATGTCCAAAATCTCAAGAAGAAAATGGAGGAGAAAGGATTGTGACATGACCATCCTCCCTGGGGGGGAGGGGTGACTTCCCACTTTCCTTCTTTCTCTGGCAGGTACATAGGTCCTATAGCAAAGTTAAAAAAAAAAAAATTACACACACACACACACACACACATATACACACATATAAATAAAAATTACATGGAAAGTGAATTTTATTCACAATAATGAAAAAGCATGCTATTTATTTAGTTAGATATAAAATGCATCTAACAAATCATTTTTTATGTGTTTATATCACAGAAGTTACCAATTATGGCCATACATAACAGAACAGTATGTAATGAATTTTGCAGCGAGAGGAAACAAAAGGCAACAACTATACAGTTGACACACTATGGATTGATTTGATACCCAGAAACTCCATCTTTTCTCCTGCAAAAGCTCTTACCTTCCTATCTACTTGAAACTGCCTTTCTGTCCTGCATCGCCATGGTTCCCACGGGCCTCTCATGTTCTTATATGACCTCTCTGACTATTCTTGACAGTACAAGGATGGATTTAAACTGGTCAATGCTTATATTACTTCAGATATTTTAATTTTATATCAACCAGTCTGTTGCTGGTGGCTTGACTTGCAAGATACAAAACTATGAAGCTGTTGGTGGCCATGTTTTTCAATATATGGAAAAAGCTAGTATATAGAGAAATGAAAGAATGAGGCCCACAGATTTTAAAGCTGAGGTGTGTCTTGGCATGTTCAGGGAAGCTATGCTTTAAACCCCATTTTCTAGACTCCCGAAATATTCAGACAAGAAGCCATTTTAAAGCTGGGGTATGTCCTGGAGTGTTCAGGGAAGCTATGCTCTAAACCCCATCTTCTAGACTCCCGAAAAATTTAGACAAGGTAGACAACCTCTGTCTTCTCTTTGTCTCTGGCTGTCTGTCTTTCTGTTTGTCTCGCACTCTCTCTCTCTCTTTAAATTATTTTTTTTAAAACTTTTCAAGTACTTCTCCTCACCTTGGGCCTTTTCTTTCACTTGTTAATTTCAGAAGCCATTTTAAACCTGAGGTATGTCCTAGAGTGTTCATTTTTACGTGTAAAAAAAAAAATCTTTTTTTCCCTCTTTTTTGGTAGTATTTTTCTAGTTTTTTTTTTTTCTTTCTGCTTATATTTTTTAACCTTATTTTCTCACTCTAAGCTTTACTCTCCACACACTGAATGTCTAGATAGGCCTAGGTGCACGGCAGCCAATCATCTGAATACTTTTAGAGTCATTGAAATCCTCAATGCTTATTGAACCTCCTACTTTAATGAAGAAATTTCTTTTTATAAATATGAACTCCTAATCTTTCTGTGGCTATCACATTGCGAAGCAGCGTGGAGGATAAGTTTTGTCACAGAACGGCCAGAAACAACCACAGAGGCACAAGAAACATGAGAAGTCAAGAAAATATCTCTCCCCTAAGGGAAAAGAATAATCCCTCATCATCCACAGACAGAACAGTAGAACTCATGGAAATGTCTGATAGAGAATTCGGAATATGCACAGTGACAAAACTAAATGAGATGCAATAGCTGAGAGATAATGTGCTCCAGAAGATGCAGGAGAAAAGAGACAATGAGTTCCAAAAGGTGTTGAAGTTCTTCCATGACCTGAGAGAGGAAATACACACCACAAAAAAGAATCAAATGGAGCTATTAGAGATGAAGGCTGCCATTCAGGAAATCAAAACCTCCCTTGAAAGTATTAAAAGCAGATTAGTCAATGCAGAAAATCGAATCTCGGATATTGTAGGCAAAACTTCTGATCTAGAAAAAAAAATTAAAAAAAAAAAACAGAGAAAATAACCCCCCAAAATGAGAATACTACACGAGAAATACTAGACAGTATTAAGCAGCCAAACATCCAGACAACTAGTATCCCAGAAGGTGAGTAAACTAATAAGGACATTGATAATCTATTCCATGAAATATTGGAAGAAAATTTTCCAAATCTAGAGAGGCATTCAAATATCCAGACCTAAGAAATACAAAGGATCCCTAATAGAATCAATCCAAGAAGATCTTCTCCAAGGCATATCATAGCTAGACTGACTGAATCTACAGATAAAGACAAGATACTAATATTGGCAACAGAGAAATTAATCAGGCTATGGAAAGAAAGGCTAAAAACATTCTCAGATAAACAAGACCTGAAAGAATTTGCCAATAGCAGACCCACTCTACAAAAGTTCTGAAAGGAGTGCTCTACCAGGAAAACTAAAGACACATACAGAAATAAGAGAACAAAAGGCAACCAAGAAAATGACCAATTTAATGCTAGGGACAAGAAATATCAATAATAACGTTGAATGTTAACTTCCAGGATGTAAAGGGAAAGATTGAACCACAGTAACACTGCATATTCAACAGAAGAGAGTTTGAACATAAGACTGAAATGGCAAAATAGAATTTTATGACTTTTGAGTAAAACATTATTGATTTCTTTGTTTTACTATGCTTTGTTTTCCCAATTTAAACATTTTACTTTCTTTTGAGGTGTTGATGGGTTCAGCAATTTGTTAAAATATTTTTCTTGTTTGTTTATTTTAATGGAAACATAAACTTTTCTTTCTTCCTGTCCCCTCTTGAATTGGAAATATTTGGGAGTATTGTTATTTTGTGCCAGAAGGTTTATTTGCCTAAGTCCAATAATGTTTATTGCATTGAATCAGAAATTAGAAATACTCATTATTGGACAGGGCTTTGACTGGAATGTCATATCTGAAGATTAATTAGAAAACTATGGAACTAAGGTGGATCTCAAGTAAGCCAAGAGACGCTCTTAGAAATATGGCCTGACACCATAAATAGTTCTTCTTAGCAGAGAGGGTTAGAGAAGATATATGAAAGAATTTATAACATAAAATAACCCGGACTTTTCCAGCCCAGCATTGTAATCAGTAGAGACTGCAAAAGAGCAACCACACCAGAGGATTATCTTAAGAAAGACTTTGAAAGAAGAAAAAGAGACTGATCTTTGCTAATGATATATCACAGAGTACTTGGTAGGCAGGGCTGAATCGAAAAGGTTTATGTGTGCCTAGTGTGCTTGGCATTTGCTTTCAACAATTTGAGTAGTTGACATGTAAATATTTTCTCAAAAATATTTAAAACCATACGGTTTCTGTTTTTTTTTTTTTTCTTTTTTGGGGAGGTATTTGATAACTATAGGGCGCGTGCGCTCGCCAGACAGACAGAGAGAGACATAGAGACAGAAAGCGAGAAATCACCCCCCAGTGAGGATAGCCACGCCACAATCCCTTCTCCTCCATTCTTCTCTCGGGATCTTGGGCACACAAGCACACGCTCCCGGCGTGAGTTTAAGCCACCGGGTCCAGGACTCAAACCGTGGTCGACTACGTGGGAGTCCAGCGACGTAGCCATTACACTAACTGCTGGTCCCAAGTTTCTGTTGTTATAGAGTCACAAACAAAATTATAAGAAATATTTTGAATATTATCTTTAAAATTCAGTATTTTGAAATTTTGAAAGCTGTTTATTAACTGTCAAGAACTGGAGTATGAGCAAAAATGTTGTAATATGTAAAGTAAATGTTTGTGGAAAATGTAAAAATAAATAAATAAATGGAAAAAAATTAAATACAATTAAAAAAATAAAGAATGAGGCCCACAAACAAGAAAAAAAAATAGTGCTACAACAAACATAAACACACACATACTCACACACACTCTGTGGTGTTCAAGTTTGTTCCTGAAAATTCAGCTACATTCTTGTTCTTGATTCTGTAAGAAATGTACTATACATATTTTTAGCCAAGCTAGTTCATAATAATTTTTTTTATTTCCTTATTTAATTGAAAAAAATTACAAGTAAGCACAGAAATAAAAACATAAACCAAAGAAACAATTATTTTTGGCCTTTGACCAGAGGAAAACCGAGAAATAAAAGAATAAGAAATAGACCATACTACTAACATTCTCTTTAACTGAAAAGAACAACAAAAGTCCTTTTCACTATAGTTAGAGAAGCTGGAAAAAAAAAGTGACAATCTTCTTGAGCTAAAAAGTAATTAAAACAAAAACCAAAGACATGTTAACCAGACCATACTTACAATGTCTATTTAGCATGGCAATCTCATGGCTTCAAAACACATATTTGGGACCAGCAGTTAGCGTAATGGCTATGTCGCTGGACTCCCAGGTGGGAGTCACCGGACCCGGTGACTTAAAACTCACACCGGGCACATGTGCGTGCATGCCCAAGATCCCAAGAGGACAATGGAGGAGAAGGGATTGTGGCATGGCTATACCCCCTGGGGCATGATTTCTCGCTTTCTGTCTCTCTGTCTGTCTCTCTGTCTGTCTGGCGAGCGCACGCACCCTATAGCAAAAACCTCTCCACAAAACAAACAAACAAACAACACATATTTACTGGGACCAGCAGTTAGTGTAATGGCTATGTCACTGAACTACCATGTAGTCGACTGCGATTTGAGTCCCAGACCCAGTAGCTTAAACTCATGCCAGGCACATGTGTGTGCGTGCCCAAGGTCCTGAGAGGAGAATGGAGAAGAAAGGATTGTGGCATGGCCATCCCCCCTGGGGGTCAGGGGGTGATTTCTAGCTTTCTATCTCTCTGTTTCTGTCTTTCTGGCGAGCACATGTGCCCTATAGCAAAAAAACCTCTCCAAACAAACAAACAAACAAAAAAACCCACATATTTACTGACAAACAAATGATGACTGGGAAAACCAAAGAGAGTGTTTTCCTTTACAATGTGATGTTAAAGGGCTGATTATGAACAATTGG